AAATGCTAATAATGTGAGTGTGAATGTTATTTTACATCACATTTATTACCATACTACTGAAAGCAGCAGCAGATAGTTCAGCTCAGATCTGGAAAATAAAATAAACCGTCTGAAATTGAACTCTAGAACTAAAACCAACACATATCAGTGATTCAGCATCTACATTTAATCATGTTAAAGAGGTTTAATATGTATTCATTAGATTATAAATCTTATTATTTTACCGGAGTGCAGTGAGTGCACTATTCTGTGCTTCTGAATGGCTGTATTTACATTTCTGTCGCGTTTCGTCTGGTGCAAACAGCCAAATTGCTCATCACTGCAAATCTCTTCACAGTGTTACAATGTAACCTGCTCACCTAATGTTTACACTTGTAATAATAACATTATTTGCTAATTAAGAACCACCTCATGTGGAACTCTGAATCTGAGTCTCATTTTGGAGATCTTAAATATCTGCAAACATAGTATGGTATTTTTCATGCTTTGAGTCAAAGGGCTCTATTTTGACGGCCCATGGGCAAAGTGCACAGCGCAGGGCACAAACGTTTTTAGGGCGTGTCAGAAACCACTTTTGCTAATTTAAGGACAGAAAAATCTGCTTTGTGCAGTGGCGCATGGTCTAAAAGGGTTGAGCTTATTCTCTTAATGAGTTATAGGTGTGTTTTAAGAATAAACCAATCAGAGTCTCATCTACCATTCCCTTTAAGAGCCAGTTGCATCGCGCCATGGTGCATTTGCCATTTACATGAAGTAAAGTAAGTGTAAGTGGAAAAACTGAGTATTTCACAAGCAAGAAAACAGTTAAACAGAGCATCTACAGCACGCGAATGAGAGATGAATTAACTTTCACTTTCGCTCTCGTGGATAGGGAAACCTTTACGCACAGACATCAATTAGCCTATAAATAATTAATTTTGTTTGTTAAACGCAAAGATTTGTTTTAAAACTATTTTTAAATTCCGTTCTAATTTCCAGCAAATGAATAAATGAACAATAACAACCAAGTGTGTTCAAAATTGTGGGTTTCTGATACACATGCTGTGCCCCATATGGTCTAAAACCTGACAGGTGGACAAATCTAAGCTTGTTTTTATTAAAACAAACATAAATATGCAGATAATAAATAATACTGATAATAATAATAACATTATACAAAAGCAAATTGTTATGAATGAACTGAAAAAGCCTCCCAAGATGAAGAAGGCATAGAGGTGGGGTTTTTATATTTATGTAGGCTAGAAAATAATATGTTTTGTAATATTTTAATCCTTTATATTTATATTCTATATATATCCTTATTATATCCTATATATATCCTTAACATTTAAATTTTTTCATATGTAAAGATATTTGCGTATTGCTCTACATCTTGTGTGTATTAAGCAGTGTGTAAGCGAGTTGCACAACTAACGCGCTCTGCGCTAGATAATAGACCAGCTTTGTTCTGGTCTATTGAAAAATAGTTTCTCAAAATAGCAACCCGCCATCAATGCACCTCAGAACGCCTTCCTTTTTAGACCAGAATGTCTATAGGTGCACATATAAGCCCAAATGGATTTGCTATTTAAACAGCGTGGCGACTCTTACACCAAGCTGAAACTAGCAAACAACAATCGCGTCACGCCTTGCAACACATTGTGCTGGGTGTATGATGGGGCCCAAAAAATAATGAGTATTTGTACAGTTGTTTGGCTTAAAGGAACAGTTCATCTATAAATCTCTGCAGTGCAACACATTTTGGATTAAAAGGACTTTCATGTAACCTTAATGCAAATCTTTATCAGCATCTCTGCCTTTGAAGTTTTCCTTTAAGACCATTGGTTAAACAAGACGTGATTCTCAATAGAAACAGATGCATATGCTAATGGTCATGCGTTCAGCTTGTGTCTCGAGTATCTCACAGATGGTGTGTTTGTGCAGATCCTTCACTGTGCAGGTGGACGAGGAGCCGCTGGTGCAGCAGCCCTTACCCAACGACCTCCCACTCAACATCCACCGCCTCTTCATCGGAGGAATCCCGCCTGATGTACAAACCGGCGTCCACAGGCCCAGCGTGCCGTTCGAGGGCTGCATCTGGAACCTCCTGATCAACACTGTGTAAGTCTATACTCCTCACACAGTTCAGAAATGAATGCTTGAAAGGGATAGTTCATACAAAAAAAGTAAATAAATGAGAAGACTAGACCTCCTTTGGTGGACTTTGATATTCTGGGAACGACCAGAAACCCAGAGTTTTGAGATATTAAATAGAGGGTTGGATTGTAGCGAGACAGAGGGTTGGTTTGATAAACAGGAGCTAGATTATTTAAAGCTTTATAGGTAAGAAGCGATATTTTATAATCAATACAGAGCTTAACAGGCAGCCAGTGTAAGGAAGATAAAACTGGAGTGATATCATATTTTCTAGACCTGGTAAGAACTCTGGCTGCTGCATTTTGTACTAGCAGAAGTTTATTAATAGAGGATGCTGGGCAACCAGCAAGCAGAGCATTACAGTAATCTTATCTAGAGGTCATAAAAGCATGGACTAGCTTTTCTGCATCTGAGATGAATAGCATGCTTCATAAATTAGCAATATTTCTGAAATGAAACAAGGTTGTTTTTTGTAAACAAAAGCTAAGTTGCTGTCTAATATACACCCAGATCTTTTACAGTAGCGCTAATACTAACTTTGTATCGCTCTAATTGCAGGTCGAGTTGTAAAATCTGCTGTGTACAGGATTTTGGCCCAATAAGTAATACTTGGATTTTGTCAGAAATTAAGAGACAACATGATTGTCGTGAGGCCATTATAAATGTGTTATTGTAACGCCGGGGAGTAACACCACAACAGAAGGTAGGATCCAATATGCAGGTTGATTCACAGTTAGGCAAGCAGTGGTCAATACGGGAGCAAACAGGTGTGTGAGGACAATCCAGAATCGTAGTCAATTTAACAAGCAAGAGGTCAAAAGGCAGGCGGCAGACAAGGATAACTAAATAAACAAGGCTAGGTTCAAAACACAGGAACACAAGACAAGGAAAACGCGTTGTAATGCTACTTTACAGTGAACAAGACTCGGCCAACTGAAGGGGTGAATGTGTGGCTTAAATAGTGTGTGTCAATCAGTCTCTGAAAGGCCTCAGGTGTGCAAATGTAATCAAGCTGGATGAGTGAGCAGGCGTGAGTGTCTAGGAGAAGTGCATGTATGCATATGTAGTCCAGAAGAAGGCAGATATGTAGTTTTATGAGTGAGTGTTTACCAGCGACATCTGGTGGTTGTTCGCTGGTGAACATGACAGTTATGAATACTTTTCCAAATACTTTTTTTTTCAGTAGAAACAAAATTAATTTGTCATTAAAATTCCTCAGTAAATGTGCCAATACGCTGACAAATAATTTTATAACAGTGACGTCAATATTTAATTACATTTAGAGACATTTTAATGATGAATGTATTTTGTACCGCTGTAGATAAGGTCAAGAAAAAGATTAATGATGCTGTTTTAAAATTCATGACAATTATAATGGCCTCATGACAATCATGTTTATGACAGATTTATGACACGTTATGTAGTCTTGATAATTCCAAGTTATTATAACAAAGAGAAAGATATGTTAGGATGTACAGTTAAAACTAGAAGTTTGCATACACTCTAAATAAAGAACATAACCATTTTTTTTAAACGTCTGACGGTAAATCATACCAAATGTTTACTATTTTAGATCTGTTAGGATTACCTAAATGATTTAAATTTGCTAAATGTCAGAAGAATGAGATGATTTATTTTATTTGAGAATTTTTTATTAATTTCTAGACAGTCAAAAGTTTACACACATTTCCTTGTTATTTTTTAATAATCTGGCATTCTTGTTGATTCTGGCTTGCTGTTTTTCCCATGCTGTCACACAAGGAAGCAGTGTGTTTGAGCTTTTCCTTCAATACTATTCTACAGTTGTGCCTCACATTAACTCAAATGTTGTCAATTAACCAATCAGAATCTTCCAAAACATTGACATCATCATCTGTGTGTGTGTGTGTGTGTGTGTGTGTGTGTGTGTGTGTGTGTGTGTGTGTGTGTGTGTGTGTGTGTGTGTGTGTGTGTGTGTGTGTGTAAACTTGACTTTCAAGAAAATCTATAACAATTTCTCAAAAAAATCTCTCTCATTATTCTGCTATTAAGCAGAACAGAAACAAGTTTGATCATCCTAACTTACCTAAAAGAGAAACAGTTTAGTCACATTAACATCTGACTTTTTTAAAAATGGTTATGCGCCTTTTTATACAGTGTATGTAAACTGGTTTCAACTGTATTCGTTTGGCAAGTTGTCATAACAAAGACATCTCAAACGATGTCATCTTTTGCATGCATCATAAGCATGCATAAAATCTATATTTATATTTATATATATATATATATATATATATATATATATATATATATATTCATATTTAAATCTATAATTTAAATTTATATTCAAGATATGTCATATCATGATTATAAAGCACATGAAAGAGACAAAAGGATTTCAGAACGGATTCAAGCGTTAGTTTGGCCAACATCTTGACTGGCGACGCTTGTTTTCCCCTTCAGTCTTATCTGCAGATTTGCTCTAACAGTACAGTCAGCGCTCTCTATTAAACAGATAACAGTACGGCGTGTACGCTCGCAGGGCTTTCCAGCTTCTAGAGGTCACCTTTAACAGCTGGAGATAAATGCATTGACCTGCAGAGCGCCGTTCAGGAGTGTGTTGTGCTGCGGTGACTGTGCGAACACGCTGTAAACATTGACCCATTTCTTCCAGCCTCCCGTGGCTGTAGATTAAAGGTCTTGTTTTCCTTCCAGTGCAGTTATGAGCTGCCGTCATGAGCTAAACGCCGTGTGACATTAATAATCGCAGTTTTTCTTGCTCTAATGAGGAGTATGAATCTCTGCCAGTGGGCTGTGTGTGTCTTTTGCACCAGAGCGCTGCCCTCCGCCAGACTCTTTTAAATGAGTGTGTCCTTGCTGGTGAGCGTGTTCATTATTCACCTGATTGGAGTCGTAGTGTCAGGCTCTCCTCAAGTGCGCTGTGTGTGTTGTGTGTGTCAATGAAACAGCCCGGTGGACTTCTCCCAGCCTGTGGCCTTTGAGAATGCAGAGATTGGCCACTGCCCTGACCTGGCCCCGGCCCCAGCTCCGCCTCTTGAGGAGGTGGAAAAGGAAGAGGCTCCGCCTACACCAGCAGAAGCAGTTCGTCCTCCACCAGCTCCAGCCTCCACTGTACGTACACATACACACACACACTTTAGTGTGCAATTAAACTTTATATTGTTTATTTTGATAGCACACATTGTTATTTTTAGGTGAACAATTAATAAGTGCATGTTAATCTGCTGAAAAAGGTGTTTTGAGTAGGGCAGGGGGATTAATCGAGGCAATTTTCATGGATAAATTACAATAAAATAAAAATACAGAGGGTGCATATTTGACGCGATGGACCCCATGGTCCCATAGAATTGCTTAGGGCCCTCAAAAGACTAAATCTAGCCCTGAGTACATGAGGATTGGGACACAAGTTGCATCCTAAATGGCACACTTTACACTATGCACTTATACACTCGGCTGTGTAGTATGAGTTTAAATGAATACTTAAACATTACTTTAAACCCTTTCCCAATCGATGTTTAACGGTTGCCAAACTTGTAAAATAAATGACCAAATTTTTACCAAATTGCAGTTAAGTACAACTGCATTCCCCATCAGGAGGCAGCATAATCCCTTACGTAGGAGAATTTTGGGTCCCACTTTATATTAAGTGTCCTTAACTACCATGTACTTACATCAAAAAAATAAATACAATGTACTTACTGTGTTTATAATGTATTTGAGAACACTTGTGGTGCTTTTGAGTTGGGATTGAGGTTGGGTTATGGACAGGTTTGGTGATGGGTAGGTTTAAGGGTGGGTTAAGATGTGGGGATGGTCAACAGTGTATTTACAAATGTAATTACAAAAGTTATTTACAGATGTAATTACATGTATTTAATCAAGCATAAGTACACAGTAAATACATGTATTTACACAATTAGTACATTGTAACAAACTATTAATTCCTGTGTAAGTACATATTAGTTAAGGCCACTTAATATAAAGTGGGACCGAATTTTGTTTTCACAATCCAAACGAAATAAAATTATCCAACCTCAGGGCCTGATAGCTCCTCTTCTTTTTCATCAGCTCCTCCCCTTTATCAGACGCTCCTCTCTTTCATCATCAGCTCAAACTCTTCATCAGTAGCTCCTCCCCTTCATAATTGGCTCCTCCCCTTCATCAACAGTCCCTCCCCATGATAAGTAGCTCCTCAGCTCTGAAATTTATGCCCCTCGTCATCATCCTCAGCTCCTCCATATCATCAGTAGCACCTCTTCTCCCCTTCACTATCAGCTCCTCCCCTTTATCATCTGCCCCACCCCTTCATAATCTTCCCATCATCAGTAGCCCCCTCTCTTCATTAACAGCTTCTCCTCTTCATCAGTTGCTCTTCCCCTTCATAATGAGATCATCTCCTTCATTAGCAGTTTCTCCACTTTATAATGAGCTTCTCCGCTTCATCAGTAGCTCCTCCTCTTCATAATAAGCCCCTCCCCTACATCAGCAGCTCCTTCCCTTAATAAACAGCCCCTGCCCCTTATAATCAGCTCCTCCCAATTATCAGAAACTCTTTCTTTTCATCATCTCCTCTAATTCATCAGAAATATTC